ATCATTCGGGGCCATTCGGGACAGTGCCCGGTCCAATACTGAGAGAATATTGACCGGCAATAGAGCATTTTGATTGGCTGACTTTAGTTATTGGCCCTCTGACTGCCCGAGTCGTGTAATAAAAACTCTCTATTTTAGGTGATATTTGAAAGGCTGTCATTTTGCCATTTTTCTCCTCTAAATACTTCTATTCTTGCTTAAGACTCTCAAATTTAGTTGATCTTTCATCTGAATATCTTAGTTTTTCAAACAAATGGAAAACAACCACACTCTCTCCCAGTCCTCTCACGTTTCTGCAATGGCCTATTACATGTGGCTAGAGTCCAAATGAACCAGGAGTATTTCTTCTGTACATTCACTTCAATTATTTGGAAAATTCTGAACAAGATTAAAAGCCTCCCCGAAAATTTAAAGTTCTCATTTCATTCGTTTTCTTTACGTAAACCTTACCAGGCCAAATTTCAATAAACAAGACATTCTCAAGTTTAGCGCCCTAATCAGTGTTTTGGATTACCGGTAGTTCTGGAGATTTGATTTAGCAAGTTAGTCAGGAAATCCTGTTGCTAAATTAACCTAGAAACTTACCAAGTTTGTTTCGGTTGTTGAAAGAAAACATCCGGCACAATAACTTGCAAGTCGGCACCAGCATCTTTCCTGACCAGCCCTCAGACTAGGTACTAGGTTTTACCTGGATAACAAAAAATAATAGTGTAAACGAAAAGTGAGCCAAAACTCAACACAAACAGTGGCATGGTTACCAGCTATAAGAAAATACCCATCAACCGCAAATTGCAAATATGCTCTATATTGTTAAGAGAATGCTCTTCTGTTCTGTGGTAACTACCTGTATTTTTTCAGTAAAATTTTCTTTATCTTCCTTTATTAAAGGAACATAAAAAAAAATCTCTATTGGTATTAGACTGATTATCTCTTAACTACATTTGAAAAAGACAAAAAAGTCAAATCTTCCCCACAGCAGCTTATTCATCAAAAGCAATCATTTGGAGGGAACAGAAAGCTGATACCTTGAATCAAATCACAGCCCACCATAAACACTGATGTATCTTGACTTAAAATACGGAGTCACTTATTCAGGCACTATTTTACTCCAGAGAAGCTTACGGGTGCTTCTTCGGTGCCAAATAAGTTCACAGGAACCGAATTTCGGGATACCATCTTCGTCAGAAACTGCGTAAGTTTGGTATCTAAGGAGAAACTCAGAACGTTTCTTGTAACTTTAGAGTTGACCCTCACCTTTAAATTTGGCAAATGAATAAAGGGGGTAAGTTTCTGTTGGTCAGTTCTTAGTTACCCATCTCTTGCACAAAGTCCACTCTCTGTTCAGCGCATCAAGACAGTCCAGTGGCTGAAACATTCAACACACTAACTGCATACCCTTTTCCTTTTTTTCTTGTGGGACCAAGTCTTTGCATCACAGATTAAGACTAACGAAGAGATTTGTTGAGTGAAACTGACTCCTTTCCTGGGTCAGTTCGTAGTTACTCATCTCCTGTACAAAAGTCCACTCTCTGTTCAACGTATAAAGACAGTCCAGTGGCCAAAACACTTTCACACTCAATGCATATCCTTTTCCTTTTTTTGTGGGACCAAGTCTTTGCATCACAGATTAAGACTAAGAAAGAGATTTGTTAAGTGACACTGACTTCTTAGTGGGTCAACTCTTAGTCACCTATCTCTTGTACAAAGTCCACTCTCCATTCAGCGCATAAAGACAGTTCAGTGGCCAAAACACTTTCACACTCACTTCATTTCCTTTTCCTTTTTTGGTGGGACCTTTTCTTTGCATCACAGATTCAGACTCAGGAAGAGATTTGTTGGATGAACATGACTCCTTTGTGGGTGAACTGACTATTTTTTGGGTCTACTTTGGTTACCCTTGCTGAAATCCATAAAATCAATTTCAATTCAAGCCTACTACTACACAAACCATGAGGAAAAAGGCTGGAATGTATCTTGTGTGTATATTCTAGACTCATAACCTATTATATCATCTTTTTTTGTTTGACTTAAATCAGTACTTATCTCACATATGTCAGCTGCATGATATAAGATCCAGGAAGAGAGGCAGAATGGTATCTTTCTTATCCTAGGAAGGAAGGAAGGAAAACATAATTACACAGGCATATTAAATAACATTCACAAATTATTGAAGAATCATAACAGGACGATGTAAGAGTTCTTCCTTCTAGTCTTCATATAAACACCATCATTGAATAAGAGCATATTACCAAAATTTAGTTGATTCTGTGAACTTTTCATGGCAAAAAGTTTTTTGCGACAGTGTGATACTTCATGCTAAAACAGCTTATAAGCACTCTCTCAAACACTTCATAAACACTATAATCATCTAAGACTACAATCAAATTCCCAATGTATTCTGTAATAATAAGACTGTAATATAAAAAAACTGAAATGACTTTATAAGGAACTCCTTTCAGGAAAATACATTAGAATCATCAGCTACCTAATAATCTTACTCTTAAATTGTTTATGTTCACAAATTATGTTAAACAAAACATTCATTGTATAGAACCCAAATTTAAGAAAAATATAACTAACTGAAAACTACAGTGCACTTAGAAAAATTACTATTCAACCAATTATAATCATCCCTTAAACCAGCATCTTTGTTATTTGTAATTCAAATAATATCCACAATCACCAGCCCTGTCCACTAAATTGCTACAAAGGAAATATCTGAAGCCTTGGCCTAAACTTTGAAGTATAATTTCTGCTGCATTCTTGAGTTACTTTTTTCAAAAAAATAACTGTACGTTAGCACATAGAGTAGTGTATTTTGGTGTAAATAATCTGAATGGTGCAATTTGGTGTATCTCAAAGCAATCTGATTGCCGCATTTTATTTTGGTGTATCTCAAAGGCAATGTGATTGGTGCATCTCTTTTGGTGTATCACAAACCAATCAGATTGTAGTATTTTGTAGTATATTGCACCAATCAGAGTGTTCTTGCTAATTTGTGGTTTGACAGGTCTTCAAAGTTATGAAGATTAAGATTTTGGAACAAGTTGATGCCATCCATGACAATTTGGAAATACTAAAATTGCCAAAGGAAATGCAGGGTCACTCAATAAAAATTTGCATTTGAACTAGATGACTTTGTTTACAAGGATTTCTCCTGCTTACATCTCAAAACAAACCTCTGAAGTTTTTTTTGCCATGAAACGATATATCGCAGAAGGCATTTTATGGGCCGCAAGTTTTTTGACTGATTGAAATTTAATGTATTTGGCAGTGATTCCCACTAGTGTTTTTTTGTCAGAAAAGTATCATCTGCTACATTAATTAACTGATGGATCCAATCACCAACAGTTACATATAAGATTATTGTATTAATTAATCAAATTTAAACAATCAGCCAATAAACTTTTAATGTTCCCAAGGGTTGTTGTTTTCATCAGTACATTAGCAATAGACGTGATTCACATTATTAGGTTTGTACTTTAAATAAATATATTTAAGTTCACTCGAAAGATAAGTATAAACTGTAACAAGCCTGGTTATTGACCCAGCACTTCAAGCCTGACTGACGCTCAATGCTAAAACTCAACTTTGTTCCTGGGCTATGTCCACCAAATCAATTTATGTCAACTAAAAAGTGCTATGTAATGCCTACTGTGCATTTTCCTGCGCAGGAAAAACCAAACAGAACTACTGATTCTGGTTCTTTACAGCCAGAGTAGTAATTATGACTATTTTGATGAAGAGACAGCAATAAATATATCTTATTAACCAAGCACGAGGGCTGTACTGGGAGAATATCGGCCCGAGGTCTTGACAGTATGAACCTCGCTGCTCTCGGTCCGTACAAAAAAGACCGAGCTGATATTCTTCCAGTACGGTGCCGAGCAAGCTTGGTTATTAAGAGATTTATTTTTAGAGACCATATTCTGTGAATCAATCAGGAAGGTAGCCAGTTAGTAGATCAGTCAGTCGACCAGTAGGTGAATCAGTCAGTCTGTTGGTCAATCAGTCAGTCAGTCAGTGAGTCATTCAGTCAGTCCGTGAGTCATTCAGTGGTTAAAAAAATTATTACTGCCCCTCACAGATAGGAACTCAATGATCAACATTGGTGATCATCTGTAACCCATAAACAAAAATCTGGATTGGCCTCTCTCGCAAACTCAAACGTTTTTGGAAATCTGAATATTTTCAAAAGAAAGAGTTCAGTTATCCATGAGCTGATAATTTTACTCAGTAATCATATCATCATAAAATAGGCTGTGGTTAGTCATTGCGGTAAATAACGCTTTAAAAGAGAAATGTAATTGCTTGTCTCAGGGTGTGGTCACTTGGGATGTGGATTGCGAGGTTTCAACAGTATACTACTAGTCTCCTTGAGGCCATAAGGTCAATTGAGTACATGTCACCTATATGCTGTTGTGCTCAGCTGTGATTGCATGGAATTCCTCAGGTGTGAAAGAAGCAATTCACCTGCAGAAGATTTCACCCTGACAACATCAACAAAGACAGTCAAATTGAAATCTCAGTAGCCTGAATGCCAAAGATCAAAAAATCACAACAGCAGGAGAGCCATATGGCAGCAGACTGCAAAGGGAACCTGATCTGAAAGATGCACTGACTACAGCCCTGGAATTCCATCCAATCATAGCTGAGCACAACAGCATAAAGGTAATGCATACTCAGTTCACCTTTTTATGTGAAGAAGACTAGCAGTATGCAGTCGAAATGTTGTGATCCACATCCCAAGTGACCATGTTCTGAGACAAATGATAACATTTCTCTTTTAAAGTGATCATATCATGTTCACATGTAAACACTGGAAAAATCCTTTCATGACTCTGTTTTTTTACCCTATTTTTTAACACATAAAACTATTGCTCGCTGCTGGAAAGTTTTCCCAAGGAGGTGAGGAAAGAGTTAAGATCATGATAAAAAAATCACAATTGTTTCATTGAGTTTACCTATCGTAAAGAGTAGACTGTTTTGAATTTCCAAAAAGGTCAGGGGTCCATAATTACTCTGCTGGGAGTTATAAATGCAGAGATCACTTATAATAAGTGTATAAACACCTATATAAGGAACCACCTTAGTCAGTGCGTTGGGCATTCATGCAGCCTTGGATGAATGACGCTAGTTTTGTAGTTTTCCACCATGTCTAAACACGAATTGTATGTAAAAGTTCTTCTAGCTACTTTAACTTACTCATCAATTCTTAATTTTCAAAGACCTGGAGTTTGCAAGTCTCCATTATTCCTTAATCACAACCTAAAGTGAGAAATAAATCATAACTGTTGTACATCCGTAAATGTAGAAGAACCTCTCTGGAGCTCAATGAACTCCATGTTGCTATAAACTTGCTGCTAAGCTTCAATTTTTCTTCAAAGTAATGCGATGCAAGTCTTACCTCGTAGAAGTAAACAAGACTTCCTAATCCGAATAATCCAGGTATTTGTAAACTTCTGCCTCTCGAACAGACTCAAGCCCTCAAAAAAGTGAGCTATTATTGGACAAAAAGTATGACAGATGGTAAAATGAGTAAAAACTTAAAGACATGTTCGTCCTTCTCGTGCAATTCCAACAAGACCTTGACCCCAGGGACTGCTCGGTTGTCACAAAACCCGCCATTTTGAAAACCAAGAGGCCCCTGGGAACTAAACGGTACTGAGTTCAAAAGCTCATTTAATGTAGTTGCTCAGGTATATACCCTTGGAAAGGCTGCAGGGACGGGAAAACGCATTTCCTTGAGAGTTCTTGAATATGCGATTAAATTTTTTTTAATCTAAAAGATGTAAATTGATTTTTATCGATAAATGGCATTCGTAAAAAAACTATCAACGAAAAGAGGAAATTGATAGAGAAATAAATACTTTTATGACAAGTTTGAAGCACTCATAATTATTGATTAATAAATTCTTCATTTGAGTGATCGTTATGTTTGTATGTAGCACATTCTTAAATTCCTCCTTAATTTGATTGTAAGGTTACTATCTCGTGCATTCTCAGTTTCCTTCTGTATTCGATTAAATACGTTATTATCGCGAATATTCTCAGTTTTTCCTGTATTCAATTATTAAGTTAGTATCGTGTAAATTCTCAGTTTTCTCCTATAATCAAATGTAACGTTATCTTACGCCTTCTCATTTTTCTCCTGTAATCGATTGTTACGTTAGTACATCACGCATTCTCAGTTTTCTTCTGTAATCCATTGTTACGTTAGTATCTCGCGCATTCTCAGTTTTCTTCTGTAATCCATTGTTACGTTAGTATCTCGCGCATTCTCAGTTTTCTTCTGTAATCCATTGTTACGTTAGTATCTTGCGCATTCTCAGTTTTCTTCTGTAATCGATTGTTAC